TGCCAACATTTGATGGTGGTGGCAGTGTATTTTATTTGGAAAACTTAAGAGTTCTTTTGCTGGGTAACATTTAATTGTGAAAAAGAGCAAAAATTTAGCTAACGATTTTTGAGAAGAATTCTGGTATTGGATACAGGCTGATCAATGTTGTGGAGTGAATACTACGCATGTGAGAGACTTAAAACCCCAAATCGGATGAAACATATGTATGCGAACTATAGCTATATCTGAACCGATTTTCACCAAATTTGGACTGATATTAGCCAATTGGTACACAATTAACTCGAAATCGGAAGAAGGTATATATGGGAGCTATATCTAAATTTGAATCAATTCTCATCAGTTTCAACAGGGTTTGTCCTTAGGTCAAACTAATATTTTTTGAGAACTTTCAACCCAAGCGGATAATAAATGTGACCTGTATTTGGTTCACAAAAATGCATGGACGGACAGACGGACAAATGCAAAAAGACATAATACCCACTACGAAATTCGAAAGAATTCCGGTGAATAATGTCGCTAATATATATCATTAAAATAAAGAATAAAGGGAGGTACCGTTGTATGGGGGCTATACTAAGACGTGGATCTGCATACCCATTACGAAGTGCAATAACGAAAATTGATGCAATTCCGGGGAATAATGTCGCGAAAATCCTGGAATTATCGAATATCTCGGGGTAGCGTTACATGGGTGCTATATTAAAACGTAGACCTATACAGACAAATCTCTTCCAGGGGGTAAAGTATTCAAAGGGAACACCTTGTGTGGATTTTCTGACAATGCCATTGAAAAATGTGGCTAAAATCATGAAAATACCAAATATCGGGAGGTACAGTCATATGGAGGATATACGATATCGTGGCAAATATTCGAACTTGAGTGATTCTAATAGACGGGTAGGCGGATGGACGTACAACGCTTAATCGTCTGGGTCTAAAATTATTTTATAATACACTATGTATGGTGGAGGGTATAAAAATGCGACATGCGAAGTTTTCTATTTTTATTTATTAGTTTATTTATTTAATCCTCAAATTTAGTGCCTCCAATATCACTTATTTACCATCAACTTCAGAGACGTTTCCCTAATTTCCCTAATTGACCTCAGGCGTTTTTCGACCTACAGACCCCTATTTTCAATGCAGAACCTAACAAAGCCTTCTTATATTACCGCCTTCAAATTTTATAAATAATTGCCGTTTAAAATGCAATTCTTAATCATAGACCTAACATATACATTTTTCATTTTCGCGTCGATATTGTTTCTTCATTTTAAAATAAAATTTGTAATTCACCTTAAGCAGGAGCAAATTGAAATTAATCCAAAAATTCCATTGATCTCAGAGACGTTGTTTTATTTTCCCTGGTTGACCTTAGACGGATTTCGACCTAGATACCCCTATTTCCATAACAAACCTAACGAAGCCTCCTCCTAACACCACCTTCTCAATTTGTAAATAATAAATTGCCATTTAAAATGTAATCCTTTATCATAGACGTAACACATTTGCAGAATTTAGTTCACTTTAAGCAGCAGCTTATTGAAATTAGTCCAAAAATTCACCACTTACTTACCTTTAATCTTACTTATATTTCACTTTAACCGGCAGCAAATTGAAATTTGTTCAACAATTTTTCAGGCATTTACTACTAATCTCAGAGATGCTCATTTATTTTCCCTGGTGGACCACAAACGGTTTTCGACATACAGATCCCTATTTCCCATCCATTAATCTCAAAGACGTTCTTTTTCATTCCCTGCTTTGCCTCAGACGGTTTTCGGCTTACAGACCCCTATCTATTTCCCATATGACACCCAACAATATCTGCTCCTATTACCACCTTCTAATTTTTGTAAATAATAAATTGCCATTTAAAATGCAAAACCCTTTTTCACAGACCTACCGCATTCATTATTCATTTTCCCTATGATATTGTTTCCTTTTTTTGCACAATTTAATTTGTAATTCAAGCAGCAGCAAATTGAAATTTGTCCAAGAACACACACGCGCACAAAAATACCTATAAAACAGAGATTCACACAGACAACCATTCATCCCTGGGTCTCACATCATGCAAAGGTCATAAAACTTCATCCCTCCTTAAATGTTGGTCGATTGGATGGTTGGCTGGTAAATTAAATTTATTTTTTTGGGTAATTTTCCCAACGACCTTAAATTCTTAAAGTTTTAATGTTGAGCAGGCAGCCAGCACACAAAGCTCCCCGGGCTTGTGACAACTGCCAACAACAACACCCAGTATAGGACAGCAATAACGGGCAAAAGCAACAACAAGAATTTGTTAACAGCAATGAGAATAAAGATACATACATACGACAATGATGACGGTGAATAAACATAAAAGTATCTATACCCAGTTGTTAAATTTAATGAAAATTAAAGTCACAACAGAAATTGAAAAATATACCCACCCATTCCAATGGGTGGTGGTGGTGGGTGCTTCATTGCATGAGAAAAATCTGCCGACCAACAAAACCACCCAATTTTATGGACAACCCTGCAATATAGAGAATTACATTAAAGCACACAAACACACAAAGAAAACACGAAAAAATAATCAAATACCAACCGGGCGGGCGGCCAGCAACAACCCCATTCTCACGCAGCTTAGCAAAACAAAATCAAGCAACAAAACACGACTGCAACCAAATCATCACCCACCGCCAAAACAAAAGCATTATCGTCATCATCATCATGGTTATCGGGATTGCCAACCATACCACAGACACAACATCATTATTAACAACGGCGTTGGCTGTGGCGGCAACGACGCCGTCATTTGTTTTTTTGTTCAACATCATTATCACCACCACCCAACAGCACCGTTTACGTTGACTTTATGTACAACAACGAATGACATTAACTCCCCCCCACCCTCTCATGAGAAGAGACAACATAGGCAGCACCGGCTGGCTCAATTGTTGTGCTCCATAACGGCAACGCATATTCTCAACGTCGACTGCGGTAATTTTGACTGCGTCGCAGTTGCTGTCGTTGCGCCAGCAGAGGCCAGTTAAAGGAAATAAATAATCACTCTCTCTCGCTCTCGAGGTTGGCCTGACACACACACTCACTCCACAAACACGTGCAAAACATAACTCAATGTTTTGATGCTCTCTCTCATTGAAAAAGGTCTCAATGATTTTGAGAAAGAGAAAATGCAACCCACCAAAGAGGAACAATTGATTTTTTTATTCTATTTGTGGAGGACAACAACAGTGAGGTGGTAGGTGGTACACTCCCATGGAAGCAGCGCGCAACATTTGATGGACTTTTTTGTATGTATAAAACTTAGTTGTATAACAAAAAAAGCAGAATATTTGCATTTATGTGTATGTATGACAGTTATACACGTGCACAACCTGATATACTACATAAATGCAGTTTGGATGTGGGATTTGGAGACAGGGTTGCCATTGATCGCATTATTGGAAAAGAAACTGTTAGAGCCCCAAGAAAATAGGAATGGCCAATGGCCACCAAAATCTCCGGAGACCAATCCGTTGGAGAATTGTGCCTGGAGTATTTTAGAAAGCAAGGTTGGCACTAAAAAATACCAATCGATCACCTCAAGCAAGCGCTTCGATGGGAATGGGCTAAAATACCGCAGAGCAACATTCGGGCAGCGTGTGACGGTTTCATTGGCCGTTTGAAGGTGGCCAATTCGAACAAATCTAAACTTATTCTAAAATTTGATGCTATTTCCGATTTTGCTTTCATTTAGTAAAATTAAAAAAAAAATGTAAAAATAATGGCGTTTGACTTTGTTGCAGTTTTTTATCTCACCCTGTGTGTCCTTTGGTACCTCACGAACATTTTAACAATTTTTAACGTCTGTCGGCAAATCCGAATTACGCTTTTTAACTTGTTTTTTTTTTTTAATTTTCATTCAAAGAAATACATTTTTTACCATTTGGACGAAAATCAACCTACGTTTCCCTATGTAAGAGACGTGGGACACAAATCGATCAACAAATCCCTACCATCACATAACTTTGCGTAAATTAATAGAAAAAATCTTTTTTAACAGCATTTAAGGCAATCTATAATTAAAAAAAGCCTTCTCTCTTTAAACTCAACAATGGCAACACTAGAAAATGACGTAAATAATGCCAAATGGCGGAATTGCTTGTAATTTCGGTAGATAATGGAATTTGTTAGAAAATCCCACTTTACAGATCTCCTATTGACCACAGAACATGCCCAACTATGTTCCATTGAATAAAAACGAATTAAGAACCCCCTTCTGTAGACCATAGACGAATGAAAATAGTCTTTTTTTGTCTTAAAAGGATATATAATACCTTTTGCAATTCAATGAAGATTTCATATTGTATTTTAATTAAATAAAAGACCCCTAATTGAGCCGAAGAGCATGTCTGGCGATCTTCAATATACCTATCATTGCATTTTCATTTTATTTTTTTCAATTTCCACTCAAAAAATACACTTTTTACCATTTGCACAAAAATCAACCTATGTTTCCCTATGTAAGAGATGTGGTACACAAAACGATCTACAAATCCCTACCATCACATATATAATACCTTTTTTGTTATTCATTGAAGACTTCAGATTGTATTTTAATTCAATAAAATGCACCTAATTGAGCCGAAGAACATCTCGGGCTATTTTCAATGTATCTTTTATCGCATTCTTATCAAGTTTTCATTCTTTTTTTAACTTTCATTCAAAGAAATACACTTTTTACCATTTGGACGAAAATCAACCTATGTTTCCCTATGTAAGAGACGTAGTCCACATATCGATCTTAAAATCCCTAAAATCACATTACTTTGCGAAAATTAATAAAGGAATGTATTTAAACAACGTTAAAGGCAATTTATTATTTAAAAAATATCCTTCTCTCCTTAAACTGCCCAATGGCAACCCTAGACAATTGTATAATAACAATTTAGAACGAAGTAAATAATGACGATGGCGGAAAGAAATTTAATGATGACGTTTGCTAAAACTAACAGCCTGTTCCACGATCTCGAAAGAAAATTTGTGCGAACGAAGGCAACTCACTCACTTTCGCATAAGAATGCGTTCCACTAACTTTCGTTCTTTCTTTCGCATAGCCTTACGTGATTCAGTGTTGCAAAATATTTTTTGGCAAAATTAATCGCGAAATAAGGCAAAAAAAGCGCCAAATGTCTAATTTAAACGCGAAAAAGCAGCAGTGGCTCTGTCTCAACTGACAGTTCAGTTGTAAACAAACAAATTGTAAATAAACAAACAAAATAAAATTTCTAGTGATTGTGTTTAGATTATTTGTGTTCTTAAAAAAGAAAAAAAATGAATATTTCTGTAGCCCTATTTTTTATGGATGATGAGGAGGAGGTTCAAATTGTGCCACGGAGGCATTTAAGAGATGCTTCGAATTTATTTGAAGTACCTAACAACCAGTAAGTATGATTGTATTTTTACATTTTTGAAATAATAAAAACATGATTTTTTCTAGGTTTGTGTCTTCCAGTGGTCTTCATGGGATTGCCTGCTGCTTCCAAAAATTGGCACTCCTCTGGCGAACTTAGGATTCTCCCCCATATACTCAACTAGTGCCCGCAGCTGTGTAGTTTTTTCGTGCTGGAATTGAGAAAATAAAAAAATATATATTTGTTGTTCACAGATTAAATTGCATTTATTATTTTTACTTACATTTTTCTTTCCATTTTCAATCAAGGAATGTTTATGTTACAACAATTTTCCTTAATTTTTATCATTCGACAGCAAACACACAAGTGACTGATTTTGACATTTGTGTTCGCATGCGTACGAAAGAAAAAAGATAGTGGAACGCAAAATTACACTGAAATGCTTACGTTTTCGTTCGCTTTGATTTTCGTGCAAATTTTCGTTCTGATGGATTTTAGTGGAACGGAAATCAGCTGTTTGTCGTGTAAAAGTTGTGCGAACGTGTTCTTTCGACATCGTGGAACAGGCTGTAAGCAATACACACACCACTATGCTGCTGCAGCACTATACAGGTCGCTCCATGTTGAATGAATATGCGTGTAGCCAACGACAACAACGTCAACAAATCTTGTGTATTCTGCTGGATAAATTTAATATTACAGCAGAGAAAAAGAAATGGGTGCATGGGGTGTGTGTGTGTTAAGGGTGCCTGCCTGCCTTTTGCATTAATTGCTTTTATCGATTTTTCGTAAATGGAGAACTTTTTTTTGTTGTTTCAATGTTTTCTTTATTATTTCATTCTCTCTGCCATTAGTTTTGCTGCTGCTGCTGCATGAAATGTGGGCTTGTCGCCTCCCACCATAGTGGGGAATTTGTGTATTTATGTTTGCTTCCTTGGCGGCAATCCCCCATACACACACGCACACAACAAACCCCCCACTCCATGACACAGCAAAACAACAGCTAAGATTACAAACGAAGGCAGCAGAGCAGAGAGAAGATGATTACATTGAAAAATATGGTGGTGTGGTGTATGTGTGTGAATGGTTGAAAGCCACCGTTAGGGATTTGCAAAATAGAATGACAGAAAATTTGGGGTGGCGGGAAAGGGGAAAAGGCAAAAACTGAATAGTTGATGGGCAACCAACGAAAAAAAACCATGTATGTATGTATGTACATCACCGTGCAGCCAGCCAGCAATCCCATTAAAAGCAAAGTTTGTATTTTTGTTTTTGTGCTGACAGAGCAAGAAGAAGCAAAAAAGCAAACAAATAAGCAATTGCGGCAGCAGCTTAATTTAGTTCTCGGGTTTTTTTCTCTTCTTCTTTTTTTAGCACAAGGCCGAAATTGAAATGTTTTGAAGCCTTTGCTGCTGTCGTTTGGTGTTGTTGTTGTTGCTGCTGCTGTTGCTAGTGAATGTAAATAAATATGAATGAGGAGAGTCAAGTCAGTTTGCGACAATGAGAGCGAAAAAAAGAAAGAAACGAAACAGTTTCCATTATTTGACACTAATGAAAGTAGGTAGGGTAGTGTGAGATGAGAATAAATAATCATAAAAAATTAATGCGAAATGAAATTCTTCATTAAATAAAGACGACGAGGACTTAATCGAACAATGTGTGAAGTGGAGAGAGAGGAGAGCAGTGTATGAGTATTACAATACACGGTTGGCATACTAATTAACTAAAGTAGTGAAGATAGGTGAGGGAAAGGAGAAAAATAGACTCCCAAGCTAAGTTAGAGTTGGAAGAAGTACAAAAATTTAAACCTTGTGATTCAACCAAGATCACTCAAAGTTTCTCTCATATTTTTTCCATGATCTATCGATTTCTCTTTACACATTTTGGTTATAGATTCAGTCGCGAAGCAGCTGGTGATGAAATAAGTCATGTGGTGAGATTCTATCGAAGGGTGAGTATTTTTTTATAAAAATCACGTAGTTTAAACAACTAACATTGATTTTATTGCAATCTATTTCCATATTTTTGACAGCTTCCTGAATAACGAATAATGAAATTAAAAATTTGGGAGAATTTGTTGTATATGACGAAGCAGATCAACATTTTAGAGCTTCTGAGAGCAAGTAGGCTTCAAAACTTTGTCGCCGGAAACGATAGAAGGTAGATCTGAGATGAGGAATTAGGCGGGGATATCGAATGTGGTAGTGGACCATTAGAAAATAATATAAAAATATAATAAAGCCTTTCAAAAAAATAATACGTGGAAAGAATCGACACAAATAGCTGAATACCTGACGAAAGTTCTCAACTTGTTGCTAGCCACCCACATAGTTCCCGAAGATTGGAAAATGGGTCGAATGGTCCCGCCACTTAAGCCAGGCAATGATGCCAGCAAAGGCGAGTCGTACAGGCCGATTTCGCTTTTGTCGCCAGTAGCTAAGACTCTCGAGGCTTAACTCCTCCCCAGCATTAAAGGAATCTATCCAGTTGCCAATCAATGTATTAGTAGAGTATTGAACCATTTCCACACATATTAGTAGAGTATTGAACCAAAACAGGCCGTGTGATAGAACAGTGTTGGTAGCCCTTTGACCTATCCGAGGCATTTGATACAATCATTCATGTCACACTGTTTGAGGACGTGAGAACTATCTTCTAGTAAAGGAAGTCGACGCCGTCACATAATGTCGCAGGCCATAGACCCATCAACATAGTTTATAGGTATTACAGATCCATTAGAAGTCTTCAAAAGGCAGATGGTGATAAGTCGTGTGGGGAGATTCAATTGAGGGAAGTTTTTTCGCAAAAGTCTCCTTGGACCAAATCCGTTGAACGATGTCCGCCCGCATGTCTGTCTGTCCGGCTGGTGAGCACGATAACTCTCGAAGGAAGTATCTGAATTGGTACATTGTAATATTGTTGTCAAACCTGGATTGAGTTCGGAGATGGGTAATATCAGTCCACTTCATCTTGTACCTCCCCCCACAAAAGCCCCAAATTTTCAAATAATATTTTATTGCACGGGAAAAAAGGATAATCGTATTTTGTTAAAACTTTGCAAATCCTAATATTTGCATCGGTGCTAAGTCAGGTGCGAAAATGGACAATGTCGATCCACTCCATATAGTACCTCCCCCACAAAGGGTCAACATTTTGAATAATTATAAATCATATAAAATGTGATCTGAGAGTCCGATTGTCTTCAAATTACACACATCACAACATTTTTACTAACCCATGATCTGGTGTGAAGATTGAATATATCGGTCCACACCTTCTGCTACGTGCCTCACAAAGGGTCAGCATTTTGGAAATCCATGAAACTCATAAAACGCGAAATGAACATCCAATTTCATTCATACTTGGTACATCTCAATATTTCCCTCTACACATTTCAACATTTCTACTAACACAAGGCTTGGTATGAGTAACGGATTGAACGGATCACCTCTTCTGGTACATCCCCAACAAAGGGTCAATATTTGGAATAACCATTAGGGACATAAAACGCGAAATATGCTTCCGATTACATTCAAACTCGGCACATCCCAATACTTCTATCAACACAAGATGTGTTGTGAAGATGGACAATATCGGACTACTCCTTCTGGTTCATAAAGTTCATAAAACGCGAAATTAACATACGATTCTATTTAAACTTGGCACATCTCAATATTTCTATCAACACGAGATCTGTCATAAAGATGGCAGATATCGCACCATTTCTTCTGGTACCTCCCCCACATAGGGTTCAAGATTTCTAAAAACAAAACGCTCAAAAAGGGCTTAATAAGCATCCAAATCCATCGATCAGAAGACCTTTCAGCAACAGGAGATCTCAGACGTTACTATATTGTCCATATAAGATCTCAAACGTTCATGCATGCACCACTGAAAACCTCAAAAGGTCTTCTAATGACTTAGCCGTTCTTCTATGGACTATGAAAGATTTTAGACGGTCTTCTTTTGAACATAGGAGGCGCCAGATTCTCTGCTTTTGATCTTAGAAGACCTCAAGTCGTTTTCTATTGATCACTTAAGACATCTACTGATTTTCTATTGATTATAAAATAATTCAGATTGTCTTCTGTTGACCACAGAAAATCTCTGACGGCCTTCTAATAATTTCCAAAGACCTTAAGCAATTTTATACCCACAAAAAAAACCTTGCATGGTTTTCTAATAACCAAAGAAGACTTCAGACGGTTTTCTGCTGAAAACAGAAGGTATCTTCTTGGAAAGTTCATACATAGATAGATAATTGAGAAGCATAACAAGGAATGAAAAAATATTCTTTCCTTTAATTTTACTTTAAATCCAAATTTATAATCTCACCTTGTTTATTTAATTTTTGTTCTGCTAATCCAAAATAGTTTCAAATTTTTAAAAAATTCGATTTTGTTTTCAAATGTCCGTGTTTTGTTACTCGTCTTGTGTTTTTTTTTTTTTTGTTTAATTTTTTTTGTGTTAATATTCCAAATATGTTGTTGACGTCGTATAAAATAATCCACAATTGAAAGGCTTGAACGGTTTAGATATTATTCGAATAATCTGAAAAGAGAGAAAGAGAAACAAATTATTAACATTTAGATAAAAAAAAAATCTAAAATAAATGATAGTTACAAGACGTGCCTATAGATGACTACAAAAGGTAGTCGTAAAAGTAGGGTTCTATAAATCAATTTCGGCAGATATCACACGATGTGCCAATTGGGCTCGTCTGTATAGACATGAGGTTTTAATCACTTGATCTATGCGATTAATTGACCGGCCCCGCACGTCAAATACAATGTTCAACCATTCACAATTACGATTCGCACTGACCCCAAAATGGAAAAAACGTGCAAAGAATTTTCTTAGCAGAGTACATATTTTGATAATAAAATTTAATAATTTGGATATTTGGAAAATTGCCCTTAATTCTCATTGTGACGTCCGACTCTTACTCACTCGTATTTATTTTCATGGTGAAATTATAGACAAAACTGAAAATTTTTGCCTAAGCCAGTACTGCCCAAAAGATAATAGCTTAAAAATCACCCATAACTCTCATTGTGACCTCCTTCTCCTACTCACTCGTATTTATAATTACTGTAATAGTAATTGTTTACATGTTATGTTTGTATATACTGGCAAGCTGGCATTGACAAATAAACGTTATTACGGTAGTATTAATAAGGAGCTATAAATACGAGTGAGTAGGGATCGTAACCGTCGATTTATTTACCCATGTAAAAGCACCGTCTACACGAATTTGGTGAAACATCATTTCATAAATAATATAATTTATAGATTAAAGACCAAATTGACGATTTTTGCAAAAACCAGTGCTGCCAAAAAGATAGTAGCTGGAAAATCACCCTTAATTCTCATTCTGACGTCCGTCTCTTACTCACTCGTATTTATAATTATATATTATATAATTACATGTATTGTTTGTGTAAGCCGGCATGCTGGCATGCTGACAAATGAACGTGATTACGGTGATATTGATGGGCTATAAATACGAGTGAGTGGGCCTCGTAACTGTCGATTTATTTGTCCATGTAAAAGCAGCGTCTACACGGAATTCATGAAACACCATTTCCGACCAAACACCATAGATTAAAGATCAAACTGCAGATGTTTGCACAAAGCAGTGCTGCCAAAGAGATAAAGCTGGAAAATCACCTTTAATTCTCATTGTGACGTCCGTCTCTTACTTACTCGTATTTATAAGTATTGTAATATTTATTGTTTACATGTTATGTTTTTATTTGCTGACATGCTAACTGACTAATGAACGTGATTAGGGTGGTAGAATTCCCCACATTGTGGATCTCGGTATTGATGAGGAGCTATAAATACGAGCGAGTAGCCCTCGTAACCCTCGATTTATTTGTCCATGTAAAAGCCGCATCTACACGGATTTGGTTAAATCCCAATTTAGAAGTAAATAATTTATGGATTAAAGTGGAAAAAATTGTCCCCTTTTGACCATTTAGAAGAGAGATGATTAGAGAGAGAGACACATTAGTTTCGCAAGTTTGAAATTGATACCCTTTGTGGTTAAGGTACCAGAAGGGGTTGACAGATATATATCTCTTCACAACAGATCTTGTGATAGTAAAAAAAGCTTTGTACGTGTGGAATTTGAAGAGAGTTGGACATTCATTTCGCATTTTGTGTTTTAAAATCTTGAACCCTGTGTGGGGCAGGTACCAGAAGAAATGGTTTGCTCTCTATATAACAGAGGTACTTGAAGGCCCATTTTCACAGCAGTTCTTGTGTTAGTAGAAATAATGGGATGTGTGAAATATAAAGAGAACCGGATGCTTATTTCGGGTTTTTTAAACGTTTTGGTTATTCAAAACTTTAACCCTTTGTGGGGGAGGTACCAGAAGGAATGGTTCGATCTCTACCATCATCACAACCGATCTTGCGTTAATGGAAATATTAAGATGTGCCAGGTCTGAAAAGAATCGGATGTTAATTTCGTGTTTTATGACCTCCATTGGTATTCAAAATTTTGAACCTTTTGTGGGGGAGGTACCAGAAGCCATGGACCGATACATTTAACACCAGACCTTTGGTTAATAAAAAATATTGAGATATGTGTAACTTCAAGACAATCGGAATCTTATATTACATTTTATAAGAGTAATAATTATTGAAAATTTGACCCTTTGCGGGGCAGGGCTTATGGAAAGAACCTAACCTAGCATTGACGCAACTATTAGGATTTGCAAAGTTGAAGCAAAATCGGTTTATCCATTCTCTTTCGGTGCAGTAAAATATATATTTTTTCGAAAATTCCGCCCTTTGTTGGGGGGAGGTACTAGATGGAGTTGACCGATATTGCCCATCTCCGAACTCGGTCTATGCTTGAGAATAATATTACGATGTACAAATGTTGGATAAAATCGGATACTTCTTCGAGAGTTATCGTGCGCACCAGCCAGCCACATAGACAGACGGACGGACGATCATCTCTAGATCGACTCCAAATGTCCTGAAACCGATTTGGGCCAAAGAGACCTAGGGTCTAAAATCGTTATTTCGATGAGGCACGTTTTGGTCGTATCAAATGATATATAACTTCTTTTGCCATATGGCTAAATTGACATTTGCCACAGGCATTAGGGTACACAAGATGCGAAAAGACCAAATAGTATTGCCATATTTGCAAATACTTTCCCCACAATTATTCATGAGTGAAGGAATGTTCTCTGGAGAAAAATGCTTTCCGCGGGATAAGATTTCAGCCTTGCTGCCATGTTTCTTACTTTATTGCCCTCTATTTTTTATAGTTAATAAAATTTAAGTCGGGTTTATTGCTTAAAAAATTTGAAAAAATATCCTCTAAGATTTCGGAAGATTGCAAATACGATCCAGAAGAGATTTTATATGGAAATTTCCGAGATTTCGAATTCCTTCCAATTTTGTTAAAAAAAGTTGTATGGGGTTGTTCACTGAAATCAAAACGTTTTCGAAATTGGTTTAAATTCTAGAAGAAATGTAGAAAATTCGGAAAAATTAAAAAAAAAAAAATTATTAGAAATTTCGGAAAGAAATCTATTATCAGAGCCCTTATCAAAAATTGTAATCTGGCTCCCTTATGAATATATTTCTTAATATTGAACATATAATGTTCTCTGGCATTCCCTCAATTCCTGCTGGAATCTCATGTGAAGTAAAAGTCCTTAAAAGTGAATTCCTCTCTTTAAATCACTGCTTATCATTTATCCTTCTTCCTTATCTATTGTTTTTTGTTCTTCATGTTTTTTTTTTTGTATCATAAAATAAATGAGTTATAATATCTTAGTCCTTCCTCCTCTTTCCCTCTCTCCCTCTCTCTCTCTAGGCAGTGCCTGTCATTCAAATGTACGACCGGATATTATTGAGGTTCTTAGTTTTCGCTCCGTTTTGGCAAGCCATCATTTCAGTTAGAAATTCAATCTATCTTCATGTCGTGTACACAACGAAATCCTTTTTTTTTTGTTGCTGCTGTTGCAGCAGCAGCAGGAAGAACAAAAACAATGTCGTTCCCCGCAAACCAATTTTTATCATTCATCTGTTCGGTGCGTTCGTTTATTCGTTTCTCATTTTGGCATCCCAAGTAGGATCTCGTCGTTAAGTTGTTTGCAAAAATATTATCCTTGCGAGGATATTGTCTGGCACACACATACACACACACTCACACACGTCAAGCGGATGATGAGCTAGCCCTACACTGGCATATGTCTGTATGTCCTTGTTATCCTTATTTTCTTTAATTTTTATATCCTCCACCATAGTATGGATGGTATATTAGGTTTGTCATTCCGTTTGTAAAACCTCGAAATATACATTTTAGACCCCACAAAGCATAAAATTCTATGTCGGATTTAGCGATGTCCGTTCGTCCATCCATCTGTGGAAATCACTCTAGCTTCCGAACGAATTGAAGTAGATTGATAAAATTTTACTCAAATGTATATTATGTCTGCAGGACTTTTGGTATGAAAAAATGGGCTATATAGGTCCACGTTTAGGTATAACCCCCACATAACTATACCTCCCTATATTCGGTATTTTGGTGTTTTTTGTACAATATTCACCGGAATTATTTCAAATTACGTATTTGCAGTTCCTAATAGGTATTACAGCCTGTGTCAAAAAATTATCTTTGTAGGTCCAGGTCTTTGTATAGCCCCCATATATCATATCTCCCTATATTCGGCATTCTGACGATTTTAGGTACAATATTCGTCGGAATGGTTTCAAATTTCGTATTTGCAGTTGGTAACAGGTACTACAGCCTGTGACAGAAAATTGTCTTTGCAGGTCTAGGTTTTCGTATAGCTCTCACATTACGGTACCTCCCTATATTCGGTATTTTGATGATTTCAGCGACATTATTCACCGGAATTGTTTCAAATTTCGTATTTGCATTTGGTAACAGGTACTACAGCTTGTGACAGAAAATTGTCTTGGCAGGTCCAGGTCTTTGTATAGCCCCCATATAACTGTACCTCCCTATATTCGGTATTTTGATGATTTCAGCGAAATTATTTATCGGAATTATTTCAAATCTTGTATTTAAATTTCCTAATAGGTACTATAGCCTGAGACAATAAATCGCTTATGCAGGTCCAGGTCTTCGTATAGCCCCCATATATCCTACCTCCCTATATTTGGTATTCTGACGATTTTGGGTACAATATTCACCGGAATTATTTGAAATTTCGTATTTGCAGTTCGTAACGGGTACCACAGCCTGTGACAGAAAATTGTCTTGGCAGGTCCAGGTCTTCGTATAGTCCCCATATATCCTACCTCCCTATATTCGGTATTTTGGCGATTTCAGGTATATTTTTCATCGGAATTGCATATTTGAAGTTCCTAATGAGTACCACAGCCTGTGACAGAAAATTGTCTTTGTAGGTCCAGGTCTTCGTATAGCTCTCACATTACGGTACCTCCCTATATTCGGTATTTTGAGGATTTTTGCGACATTTTTTACCGGAATTGTTTCTAATTTTGTATTTGAAGTTCGTAATGGGTACTATAGCCTGTGACAGAAAATTATC